ATAGAATTTTTTTTTATTAAAATCTTTTATATAAAAAAAATTATTATATATGAGTAAAAAATAATAACGAAAGATATATTAAATTTATATTAATAGTTTTATATTAATATAAAATATTTATAATATTTATAATATTAATAGTTTTATATTAATTAGTTTTAAAATTTAATATCTTTCTAAGTAATCATCATTTCATTAAGTATGTTAAGTCTTATTTGCTTCATTAAAATCTTAATTAAAATCTCAAGCATAATACATAACATTTCTTTTCTCTATATCATCCTAGCTATAATTATATATTTTTACTCACATTCAAGTCTTAAGTTATCGATCTATTATGTAATGATACAATTTGCATAATTATCATCGATATATTATTCAAACAAAATGTTAAAGTAAGTTACGTCGATATAAATAATTTATTCAACTCTTTCTCTTGTTATCACTATATTACTTTACGTTAACGTAATGGTTGATGATATTAACATAGTTTTCAGGCTGGGATAAATGTTTGTACGTGAAGATTAATTAAATACATGGATTAATTAATGGTTTTTAATTAATTAAAAATAAAAATTAATCGAAATTAATATCTGGTGAGCATTGATTCGTTGTAGACAAATAAATAAAAATAAGAAAATATTGCAATATTTTTGACTAATGGACATTTTTACTTCAATAATCGATTAAATATCTCATTATATTAAAGTCTTAAACTTATTTTCAATTTTAATTTCAAATAAATATTTTTTTTATTTATTTTTATAAATTGCATGTTATATACATTGTTTATCTTTGTAATTAAATAATTATATTTTGATTAATTACATGGAAATTATTGATTAATGAAGTTTTTAATCTAATCATAATTTTTTGAAATTTTTATGGCTCAAGAAGTCAAGGACTTGTACATTTCCTAACTTTATCGGATTAGTCGTAGTCTAATTCCACACATGACTCCCAATAACCCATGACCTTTCCTTATCAGTTGCGATTAATAGTAATTAACAATAGAAGTGAATTTCATCATAATTGAAACAATCATATTGAAATAATATATTACTTTTTGTCACATTTATATGATAAGGTCTGTTCAATATAAATTTTCTATAATCTCAACACGGATTAAAAATAATATTTTATCAATGTTAATGACTGAGAAATAATGCATCTTATCTATCTTTTACAGTGGTTCTTCGCTTACTTCAATAATTTATATGAAATCATCGATTTTAAAAAAAAATTTGTTAGTAAACAATATACTTTATTTGAAATTAGAGAAATGCGATTAAAGTGTCACATATGTATATTGCATTTTAAATCAAATGCATTATAGTATATATTTAATTTAATAATGTCTGCACACGAATTTTTCAAATTTTATGAAATTAAATATTAAATAAACAGAACAGAAACAAAAAAAATTTAAATATAGATCAAGTTATCTTTCAATTTAGCAGACAGTTATTTTAAACAATCGTCAATCGATGATGTCATAAGTTAATCCCTTTTGTAGATACACAAATATTTAGCATGAGTCTTGTACACATTTTTCTAGAGAACCAAAAGTTAGAAAGACAATATTATTTGCACATAATGCGTTTCCCATGTATCATAGATAAAGCAATTTCAAAGAGACAATAGAATTTTTTCCTTTCTTTCAATATGTATTAGATAGGATTTATGCAAGTTATTCATTCGTTCCCAACAAATCATGGTAAAGTCGTATGTCATAGAAATCAGACAATTGGCTTTGCTCCAAGGGCGTAACGCATCTAGGTGTATGTAGCGTTTTGAAGATGCGCCACGCTAATTTTAATCACAGTACTGTCCAAAATAGCACGACGACTGCGCACATTTCCTTCTCAAGTCACGAAACGTGAACATGCTTATTCATTACAAAACCATTCGTCCAAATTTGCTAACGATTTACTTTTGACCTTTTAAGTGTTGTTTAATTAGGCATTCCAAATTACTATATATACGCAATATTGATAATCGAAATCTAAGTCTAATTAAAAAATTATTTGGATTAGATTAAAAAACTATTTAGCATTATTATCTTGATCGCGTAATATCTTAAAATGATTCATTATAACTTATTATAAAATTCCAACAAAAAATTATGATGACATAATATATTGTCTCGTGCGTGACTAAAATTAAGAATTAAATATATATTTTTTATCGTCATTACGATCTACAAAAATATATAGTTTTTTTATTTTTTTATCAATTCAATATACAAGCTACTATTTTTTTATATTTTTTCTCCTTGTATGATATTTCACGTTTGCGCGAAAATAAGAATTACTTTACGCAACTGTTACATCATATTGTTTCTTACGTATGATTCTACGCAGATTTAGACACGTGATAATTCTACGATTGTAAATATTATATTATTGACAAATCGATAATCAAACAAGAAAGGTTTCATCAGCTTTTTCATCAAATAATGGGTCATTCACCTAATACGCTCTTTTATGGATTCTTTTCTTATTGGTCAAAAGAAATCACGTTACAAATTTGCGAGAATATTTATTTCTTGTATTTATCAATAACTTTTAAGAATAGCGGCGCCATGATATAAAAAAAAAGCACAAGACAAGTTTATCAGCAAGAATGATGATTTTGTATTAAAAAATTAATATCAATATACATATTTCGATTTCCATATATGTTATGTCATGCAAATTAAAAAAATGCAGAATAGCCATTTTAATTATTTTTCTTAAAAGTGTGATAAAATTTATATATACATATTTATTTAATTCGAATGAAAATTCATTAAAATTCAAATATGTTTTACATATATTAGATTGTTATTTCGAAGTACTTCAAGTTATTTAAATTTTTGAATATAAATCTTTTTTAATATAACGTAATACTTTATATAAAATTTAATACAAAATGATTATATATTTAATAATATTTAATAATGAGTTTTTATCATATCGAAAGAAAAAATTATATGATATATAATAATTTTAGACATGGAAAATTTCCTATCTAATATAGACCTAACTTAATCATGAACAACTCGTGAATCAAATTTTTTTTTTTCAAATCAATGCATTATCAACTGGGCAACAGTTATTTTGCAACAACTTGCAGAAATTGGACACGCAATAACAACTGGAAAATTTTATTATTTAAATATTGCAAATATATATTATTTTTTTCGATGAATTCGTAAAACTAAATAAGATAATCTTATATCAACATAAATAAAAGATATATATAAAGATCGATTTAATACGAGTATTGCAACTTTTTTGTGAACGTGACAGCAAGTTGAAAGTATCATTATGGACCATATAATAAATGAGATAAGCATTTGCCACTTTTTCCTCTTCCTTTTTTTCAGATTATATAGCTTGACCCTGACACTTCGTTCGCATAATGATAAATAATATTCAAGAGCAATTATTTTAACCTCGACCTTTTGTTTTTTATGAGGACTACTATATACTATTACATTTAATGCGATTTTTTTTTAATAAAACTATGAATTTTTTTTATAAAAAAAATAATGTAAAAAGAATAATAATTTCTTAAAACGATACTATTAAATTTAAAATTAAAATTATTTAAAGAGGAAAGAAGATATCTTCATTTTTTCTATAAGAATATAATAAAATTTTGTTATTGTAAATCGTTTATTATAAATTGATAGAGAAAATCTATTAAAAAAATAGAAATGATAAGTATCTCACAATAAATTAAAATATCTGAAATTCAAAATAATTCATGATATTGCTATAATACTTTTTAACTATATACGCGTACTTGCTTGGTTCCGGTCTGGTACATGTTGAGTCTGGTTCGCAAGCAAGTCTCGAGGGACAAGAGAAGAGACTATTGCCACATTTAAAGTCGTAATTCCACTCCAGGGTAACATGACCACACGCACCTATCCTGTCGCACAAGACACTTCACTGTGATAGAGTTGTACAAAATTTTCAGTCTGTACTATTCTTTGGAATAACAACGACTAAGCATTTTATCGTTTTATTAAAAATCAGTAATAAAAATAATAATCAATAATAATTCAACGTTATACGTGTCTCACGTAATCAAGAAGAATTTAATTAATTAGTAACGTAAGTTTGAAAAAACAATTATTATATATTCTATTTTGCACGATAACTTTTTTTTTTTATTGGGAGAAACTTATTCACAAGTTGGTCAATAGATTGAGTTATTACAAAAGCAGATAAAATTTTATTGAGATAGATGGATATAATTATGGATATAATAATTCTTTTTCTTCTTCTCTTCACGGTTCAGTTTATATATATCTCCTAATATTTATCGAATCCCAGTAATTTCGGATTTAATCATATCGTGGCCCAGAATGATTCACGTGATCTAACGACACGATCTTGTAATATTGTTGACGAAATTTTTGGCAGTGATCGACGCATGTTCCTCACTATTAAAGATTTGACGCTTAAATCATTCGTGCAATGCGAATTCCTATTTCCTCATAGCGATTCTTAAAAGGTCTTTGCGATATGAAATTGAATTCTCTTGTCCAATTCGTAAACAAAAAACATTCTGACAAATGATTTTAATAATTTGAACAATTATATAATTTTTTATATATAATAATTAATTATATAATTTGTTTAGATACATATTGTATTTAAAAGATTCATATTAATATTAATATATTTTATATAAAGATTTTATTACAAGAAAGATCAATGTTAAAAATAGAATACAATTCATATTTATATTATTTTTATATTATTTAATTTTTATTAATTAAAAGAAAGATATTTTTATTTTATTTAAATAAAATAAGAATTTCGTGAATTTCTAATATATAAATTTAAAAAATTAGAATATATTTATATTTTACGTCGTAAAAATGTTAATAGTAAAATAATAAAATTTAATATTAAATCAAATGAAAATAATAATTTAAAATTAAAAAAAAATTTTTTTCCAGATCTAAATGTGTTCCATAGCGATACCAGCTGAACTGCTTCTGGGGCATAGTCCTCCAGTGTATAGTTCGCTGCTATACAGTCCCTTGGTGGTAACGGCACCGACGATTACTAGCAGGTCGGTACCACCCAGAATAAGGCCATGCCTGTCATCTGGTTCCTTGGCCATAAATAACATTCGAAACAATAATGATGGCAGTAATAAACAAAAGAAAAAAGTAGTGTTTGCCGATGATCGTGGCCGTCCTCTTACTCAGGTATTCTTAATTTCATTTTTGTCTTTTAATTGTAAAAGAAAATAAAATGACTCTACCTGTAGAGATTTAGAGATTTTGGATTTTCTGTTTGTATTTAAATTTTTTTATGATTTATATGATTTAATTTTATAATATATTATTATTTTTAAATTTTACAATTATTAAATTGTTATAAATTAAATTGTTTTCTATTTTATGTTATAATTTTTTTTTCTTTATAATTATTAAAATGAAATTATGTCGTTTTATTTTTTTCAGTTTTATTATGATTTTTCTTTTACTCAAATAACATTATTCGTATATAATAATGAATTTTGTAATCAACAAATTAATATAAAATAAGATAAATTATTGTCTTTGCTTTTTTGTTTGCAGGTACGTGTGATGTCGGAACCGAGTAATGTACCACCTTTGTGGAGCACAGCTTATCTGGCTGGATTAACAGGGCGGCTTTTAAATTCGAAAATTGAGAATGATCAATCTATAGAACTCGTGTCACCTTGGCAAGTAACTTTCCCTCAACCGGCGAGCGATTATTTAGCCTTCCGTCAGAAACTTGATCAGGAGAATGTCAGCTTGGAAAACGTGATAGTGAAAGAATCGGAACAGTGTCTAGTAGGTACCATCAAGGTACGTAATCTGGCGTATGACAAGGAAGTCGTGGTCAGGGTGAGCAACGATTCTTGGAAGACACACGAGGACGTTCATTGCACTTATGTTGAACAACCGGGTTCTCCGGCCCTGATTCTTTACGATACCTTCCGCTTTCGATTAACTCTACCATTGAAATCAAACGTGATAGAATTCTGTGTACGATATCGAACCGATGGAAAAGAATATTGGGACAACAACGAGGAAAAGAATTTTATCGTTCGAAAAAAGTTAGAGGTATTATATTTAACATTAATTTTCTATATTTAAAAATCTATATACGATTTTTTTTCAGTGTTTTATATGCCAGTTTGTAGTTTCTATCTCATATATCTCTTGAGGCTATTGAGAAATACTTTATATTTTATTTTATACCTTGTCTTATATTTTTATTACATCTGTTATATCTCTCTACTTACTGAGAAGATTGAGATCTTATTCTATCCTATTCTATTATTACTTTTCTTTTGTTTCTTTATTTCAATTTCATCTCAATCTTGTCATTTATTGATACACAATATAATTGAATGTAATGATCTAAAATGTACACTTTTCATATTGTAGCCACGAGCACCACCCAAACGGTACGATATTCTGACAACGTGCGATGGCTTTTCGAAGAATAATAACCGAGATAGTATACCACGAATCACAGATGCAACAAAAGCGAACGTACGCACGTGGAGCGAGTTCGCATCCTGGCAGCATCTTGCGAATGATGCTCCATACTGGTGAATCTTTGTCACTGGTCACAAACGATGTACGTATGTCGTACGAATTCTTCCAATCTATTTGGTTTAAAGATCACAAGATGTAGACCATGCGGGACGAGGTGGCAATATATCTACGCAACGGCATGCATAAGATTGTCGTACGAAAACATCGTGTAATATTTACACGATAGCGTATATAAGTGTGGACATCAAGATCAAGAGAACGCAGAAAAGAGCAATGATAAAAAGAAGGGAAGCGATGGACTGTGATTAAGTTCAAATTATAAAAAGACATGCTTGAACGGAAGAAAAAGACAATAATCAGAAGTCGATAGCGCGGAACAGGCGAGAAAGGAGGCACTAGTCGCGTTACATTTATGGTAAGTTGATATTGCACATATAATACTTATAAAACTTATTATACATATATAACAATCCTGAATTCACTCTAACGAGTTTTGCGTTACATTATTTTATTAATCTTTTTATTTCGAGCGATATTTCTTATTAATAATCTTCAATAGGTAATGAAGATTAAAAATAGAATCAATTCCACAAACTTGGAATTTACTTATCATTACAGAGATATTGAAGATATAGATATAAGAATAAATAAATTCATTAACAGTTTATTAATATTAGATAATAATGTAAAATTCATACAATATTATAACATAAGTTTATAACATTGCTATATATATTGGCCGTATAAATATTTTGAAAGAGCGTCCTTGTGCATGATTTCAAAAAGAATCGTAGGAAAGGTAAAGGAGCGTCAATGTCGCTAATGCCAATCAGCATAATCTTATGATTCGAGTCGTGAGTAACGTTGTCGTGAGTAAGTAGATTCTTTCTAAAGTTTAAATCGCCTTGAAAATTTGCGAAAAATAACCATGTCACAACATATATCTTTTCTCCATCCTCATACGCACGTTTAAACTTTCTCTCTATAAATAACAATCTGGCGTGGTGCGACGATAACAACCGCGACCAACGAGTCGCCTGACTCTAATCGCCTTAACTAAAGGTTGTTACCGCGCCTGACAAGATATATTTGTTTCTTCATCTTCGTTTCTTTTTCACTCCTTTTCATTCGTTATGCTAGTTTCACAATCGGATCAAATTTTTATACAAGGAAACTGTATTAGAAAATTTATTTTAATTTTTGCAATTTTAATTTAGAAGGAACATAAATTATTATTTGTTAAAAGCAAAAAACAAGATTGCAATATTATATTTCAATCACTTTATGTACTAAATTATAAATATCTTTATAGGTCGACATTTTATGTATGTATATTTGAATATATTTGTATGTATATTGTATATATTTTTTAAAAAAAGAATTTAGAATTTACCTCTTACAATGATTTTAAATTGAATTTTGTGAGAGCACCTTTATGTCACAAGTTCCACAAGCGGACACTTGCCTCTGTTGAGTGCGAATGAACTTCTTTCAGGTCACGCGAATTCAATTAAAAATATTATTATCAACAAATTTACCATTTTACATCGCAGTAATTTAAAAATATGATTATATTTGTTTCTTTCATCATAATCATATGATCAAATGTTACTTTGCTTTATTTTTATGCATTTACGGTTACGGTTAAATGATATTGAAATTATAAAGTAAATATGATAAAGCAAACTTTTCAAGTTTATTTGATAATGCAGATTTCTTAAAAAAAAAATATTAATATTAATGTATTTTTTAATAATGTTTTATCTTAGAATCCTCTTTATATTTATATACATTTTTTAAATATCTTAAAAATAACGATATATAATTTTAGAATGACCTAAGTGATTTATAAATTGCAATGATTTCATGGCCAAAAGAATAAGTAACCGAAACCTTGGCCTACTGCCAGCAGACTGACAAATGTGAATTCATTCTACATACATATTAGAATAAAGTAGTTTATACTTAACTACACTTCCTTGATTCATGCAAAGTTTTGAATTAGATTAAATATAAACATGAACAATATATTGCTGTACAATTTATATTGATTAGAAATTTGTAAAAAAAACTTATAAAATTTAAATAATTTACATGTATTAACTAGTTTATGTCGCAGTTAAATTGATCTATATCATCATGTCACAATTAATCGTTCGAAAGCTATGATTGATAAATATAAAAATTCTTATCGTTTTGTGAACTAATTAAAATAGTTATAAATAAAATTAGTCCACGGATTAAAAAAAAAAAGACTATAAAAAAAATTAGTTCAAGGTTCATAAGCAAAAATACAAGTTCCTTAAAATCAATTTTAATAATGATGAATCAGTAAAAATTTTCTTTCTTTGTAGTTTGAAAAAATTATTTTTTTAGATGTTAGATTACTCATATAATTTTTTAACAGTTAATTGAGTATTTAAGACATTTTAACATACATTTTTTAAGTATCAAAGATTTACATTTTTTATATGTATATATACAATATAAAGCGATCTTATATGTATAAAACCGGTATGTATGTCCAGTTAAGGCGTGGTTAAAAGGTGGTACAGGATCATATACATATATCGCCTCACATTGCATATAGTTATACCATAACACGTTTTGTAAACTTCATAAAAACTTTAAGACGTCTAGACGTGTGGGTTGGCTAGATAATCTTGACACTCTGTATATCGGTCGTATTATTGTTCGTTATAATCATATTTTCAAAATTATGTATTTTTTATCTAATCGAAAATTAATTTTAATATAAAAAAGTATTTTATTTATGAAAGTTATTATCAATATTATTATTTATTATATATTATTGAATTATTATTAGATAAATAAAAATACTTGGATTAGATAATGATAATTATTGAATAAGTTATTTAAGAAAAATTACAAGCAATTAAGCATAATTCATGAATTTATTATTTATCGGTCAGAAATGATAAAAGTATGTCGATAAAAATATAATTTTATGATAATACCACTTAATTACATCATTGATTATTAATATGACTTTTATACACAGTAAACAAAATAAATAAAAATATTCTATACTTATATGCTATATCGCATATATAGCATATAAAGTAAACAAAATACATAATACATAAAATATATAGATTTAGAAAAATTCTAAAAATAAATTCGAATAAAAATATTAAATGTATATGTACATCAAAAAATGTATTTCTTATCAAATTTTTCGAATGAAAAATATTGTTAAAAGCTAAAATAACATTTATCAAGTATCGTAGACTAACTATAGTGGTAACCTTCACACTACTTGGCTATTAAACAATTCATTATAAAGCCCACAGTGACTAACTATAGTTCTTATTTCTTTCGTTTCAGATTGCAACGTGCAGAACAGACATATATAGTGTATATGGAACACAGGAACACACAATAACCGTGTAAGAGAGACAATGCAAACAAATACTAAAGATCATGGATCTGGATTGGATGAATGTTTGTTCTGAAGCTTCTCCAAACTTTCTACCAATTTGGTCATCATACATCTTCTCGTTCATCGTCTTCCTTCTTTCCTCTTCTGCTTTTCTGGAACTTCACTATCAATGGCTGAAGATGTCCATTAAGATAAATTTCCACCTTCGAATTGACCAAATCTCGCTGGTCTTGTCCGTTCCTTTTTTTTTTCTCTTAATATTATCTTCTTTTTCG